TAACTCGCTGGTGGGAGTTAGAGCTCCGGCGCAATGGACACTTTTGTACATACATATAGCATTAAATTTTAAAGCAAATCCATCATTGACCATGATTATACCATAAAATGCCTCTGAGCCATAAAATTTTCAATTTAAAAAAAAATCAAATTTTACGTGTATTTTGAACGGGAAATCTTTGCATGCCTTGGTCGAGCAATGAACATTATATTAAGGGCTCCAATTTTCAGTGACCGTGTTTTTAGATTAAATTTCAAGGTGGGAGTAAAAAAAAATATAGTCGCCGATATAAAGCACCCTAATGTATGTATATGTATGGAAAGGAAATTTAAATTGCCATTAACGTACTTGTATTTTGACCTTTGCAACCCCACATGGCATAATTTTTGTAATTATTTTGTTAAAACATGGTTTATGCATTTAACCAGACCCACCTGCCGACATCTACATAGATCTGCCGATTTCAAATATGAGGTCCATTGGCTTCATCACGTCAGAATTTTTCCCTAGCCTCAAAAACCCATGGCGGGTATTATGTAACAGGTACGTTTTTTGAGGTTAGCAAAAAATTCGGACGTTATGAAGCAAAACGGACTTCAGATTCGTATTCAGCGCATCAAAATACATAAATAATAAATACATGTATTTTGATGCGATAAGCACGATTCTGAAGTGTGTCGAAATATGTATTTATGTATGTAGCAGAGCTGTAAAATGATTGAATCAACATAGTCTGCATTCACTCGGCATTCCTTTCAAAATGTTGATTGTTGGTTTGTATAAATAAAAACTTCATTCCTGAGTGGCTTAAAATATTTGAAAACAAACAAACTGTGTTTTGTTATTGAATGCTAGATTGCCATTCAGTATAGAATGTGAATGTTCAGCAGCATTCGCACTCACACATGATTGTATATTTAGAATGAATGCACACTTTTTTTTACCATTCAGTACCAATAATTTGTTCCCAGGGTTGATATATTTTATACTTTAAAGTTTGAACATATCTGGAATTGAAACAAAAACAAATATTTTATTTCAAAGTATATGTACTTATGTATTGAAGTTTTCTGCCACTAACCCAAAGCCAATGACTCGTGCAATATTATTTATTCCAAAGCAACTTATCGCAACCGTAGAGCAAAACAGACACATCTTGATATGTATACATATACATCATCGATTGTAGACATTTTTTCGCAGAAGAATATACAAAATTTATTTATCACAATTATTTTTGTACTAAATATTTTTTTCACAGTATACAGTGATCCAGGTAGCCAAAACAAAAAATGTAAACATGCTTATTTGACATTTTGTTTGAATGTATTGGTTGATATTTTTTCACAGTTGTCGTTTTCGTTAACCCAAATGAAATCCAATTTAAATATTTTCAAGTCACATAAAATAAAATAACGAGAAACACGAAATTCCAAGCAAATGAAGCGTGAAGCGTCAGCAATTATGACCGGATGCAGTTCCTACATAAGTCAAACCGTGTTCTGAACACAACTTTGAGTGAATAATGGTGGGCTGACTTTGTAAAATGGTCCCATCGATTAGGCGGTAAAAGAAGTATTACTTAGCTTATGGTACAACTCTCCAATTTTCAAATGCACGTAATTTGTGTGTATTTGTTCAGCCGATTATTCACATTTGAAAGAGGATAATGCATGAATTAATGCAAGTAAAGACGGTTTATGCAGATAAGCGAGCGCGTTTGTTAACCGTATAAAATGTATGTACGTATATACACATATATTCAGAATGACGAGATGAACTAGTTCAGCCCTCTCTGTTTGTAAACACGCTAACTCGAACAAAATTTAGTTATTTTAACGAAAGTCGGTGTCGAAGTTGCCTTTGGTATAATTTAGGTTAGTGTTAAATTTTGTCGAAATCTGCCAATAACCACGCCCACCTCCCACGTAGTAATTAACAATATTTTTGTTTTATTATAATTTGTTTTACGAATTTTGCTGTTCAAATTTACATTTCAAATATATCAACAAACATTTGTAGGTACTTTTGCACCAGTTGTTGCCTATGGGTTAATGACAAAAAAATCCTATATATTCACAACATTTCATGTATTAGTTTTCAAATAAGCATATTGTCAATGGCTGGTTTGCTGTATACTGTGATTGTTTTCAGTTTTCAAATATGAAAACTTTCAAAACAAAATTTCAGAAGTGTTCCTGTTTTTTTTTAAGGGGTTGAGGAGTTCCATTACTTTGAGCAACTTTTTTAATTAACTATTAATTTAAATGTTTCCTAAACATATTTACAACGCAGTTCTGCAAGAGGGTACCATAACTTTTTTTCAAATAACGTATATTTGGAACAACCAAAATTAATCGATATGGATACATACATTTATGTTCGTATGTACTACTTATGTATGTATATATACATAAAAATGCTCAGAAAAAAAGAGAAGATGATTAGTCCATGTCCGTTTATTTGCGTACACGAAAACTCTAGCAAAAGTTGAGATATCTCAACCAAATTCTGTACGAGGGTTTTTTTATCTAAACCTGGTCCCTCTCATAAAATGGTAATTTCGAAAAATGCCAAAACTACAATATTTCCTTAATTACAGGAACCAAATTGCTAAAAAACTGCCATGTTTATTATTATAGTTTTGGAAAATGGACATGGGATATATTGCTAGCTTTAAACATCAATTTGCTCAAAACATACGTTTAGAACAGTTAGCAAGCTTCTACCACATGTGTGGTAGATCAACCACGTAATTATTTTTAAATTTGGGTGTCTACCACATCTACCACACAAGGCTTAAATTCTACCACATTTTTAGACAGAACATTTGTTTACAATTTTCACATAACTCTAGAATTTCAACTCAATTGTAATTCGAAATATAAAAATTAATCAATAGATTTTTAAAAAGGTACATCATAAATTTTGCTTTAAATATATCTGTGCCTTAACTTTCTAATATTTCAAAAATACGCCTATTTATATTTGCTAAAGTATTATGCAATGGGAAAATAATTTGGTCGATTTTTTTGCATACAAATAAAATATTCTTTTCTTCATGATTATATTCTCTAACTAGAAAACTAATGTTATACTTGTTTTTGCACCAATTGCGTGGAATCTGTACGATCCACTAGCAATTATATTTCCCGATTTAATTTTTGAGTTGTGCTTCTTTTGACGACGGTGTGCGATATGTATACCCAATAAAATATGAATTGGAAAATCTACCACATCTTATTCAAATCTACCACATTTTTTTCGATTCTACCACACTAAAATAAAAAGGGGTTTGCACACAGATTTGTTAAATCTTTTTTTGAGAAAAGTTGATAATTTGCAACTTATTGTAAATGGTAGAAACCACCACAAACCCACAAATCAGGTTTTAGAATCTTTATTAAATGCTTGACCCAATAGCGAAGAAAAAAGTACGAAGAAACTTGTATTAAGAATTTTTTAAATAAATAATAAAATGTATATATCTAAAGTTAGAAGTAGAAGCGCTTAAATTTGTTTACTTATTTTAACGTAGATATATAGGTATGTACATATGTAATAATTTCTGCACATACCTTTTATTGGTACATTGGTAATACTTATTTAGAAAGCTGACAATTTTCGAAACAGAGATGTAAAAATCGTTAATAATTGACATTTTTCATAATGACATTCTTGGCAGAACAATATTTCTCTAATTAATATTTTCATTTATTATAAATATTTGTACAAATTTAAGTGAAACAAATTAATGATAACGCTCAATAAACTATTTTTCGTGTTGCAATTTTGAAATCTGTTCAATAAAATTCAACCTTGCGTATTTTTCAGTGGGTTTTGTGTATTTAGAATATTTATATCGATTGATTGGTACTGAATGAATGTGTGCACACATAGCAAAAGCTGCATTCATCTGAATGCTTATTCAGTGTTAAAAGTTAATGTTTCGTCATTCAGTTTTTTCAATCTTTCTTTGAATATGTTAATGTGTGCAATCGTATCTACTTTGAGTGAATGTAGAATTGGAAAATTATAAGCCACATTCCCCAACAAGGAAAAATTCAATGAAAACATAATAACATAAAATTGATGATTTTTAATTTCATATGATTTCACAGTTTTACAGCTCTGGTATGTAGATACATATGTACTTTCGGTGGGTGTGCCGATGTAATTTCAATTTTTTTATATATGTAGATACTTTTTTCATGACATACAAGTAAATGGCGCAGAATTGTGAGACGTGAAATTACCTCATAATATTTGTATCATGGAAAATACCTTCTTTCTTTTACCATTGTTTTTACGAAACGTTAGAAAGATATATTTCCCATTATTCATTAAAAACAAAAATACCAATCGAAATCCCAACACCTTACAGAAAACAAAGGCTGCATTTCTTTATTCATTCTGAACGTTTGGAATAAACTTTTTTGTTTACTTATTCTTTAGAACGTTCCTGATGATATGTTAACGTATATTTCAAAGGCATTCTGTTTATTCCGGATGAGAAATGGGATTATCCGGAATGTATAAAGAAACGCAGCCAAATTGTTTGAAATTTCTTGGTTGTGGATCACTTAAATTAAGATTTCTTGAGCTTAGATTTTCTATCTAAAATGTCTTTCCCTATTCTATTTTTTATCAAATGAAGGACAGAAATGCACTTACATATGTCATAGAGATGCATTTCCGGTTAGAATAATTCATTATTGAAGTGCCAAATAGATCATTATTATCAACAACCTTAGACACCAACCTGCTGAACTACAATATCGACAGTATTTAACTCAACAATTTGTAGAATTGCTCTTGCTGCTGATTTATATCCCATATTCAATGTATAATTGTACGTTTAAAAACAATCTTAAACATTTTAAATATGTAGAATATTTATTTAGGAATATGTGTTACCTGTAATCTTTTCAAACGCCGGTTTTTATTTCATCGAATCATCATTACAGTGCGATATGGCAATATTACACCTTTCGCGTATTCAATAAATTGCATTGGAGTTGTTCGGTCTGTCATATCGTGTAGTGAAGGAATTTGTAATTTTATTTTATTTTTCGGTGTGTAAAGTGTTATTATATATCTCTTATAAGAACGCAGATTCTTTAACGGCACCTGTTACATATATATGCAAAAGTGAAACATCAAAAACTGCTCGCCTTCAAAGACGGACAATTGGTGAAATTTTTCCAAATTTTATCTATTGCGCTGTGATGTAACCGCGTGAGACCATACGCAACCCAAATTTATGTGCCTAGCAAATGGTTTTTCATGTGTTCATTAAATTGATTGCAATATTGTTTTGGTGCATTGTAAGCGGCTAATTAGCTTGTAAAAAGTGTAAATAAATAAACCACCTTAACCTCATTTGGACATAACCTCGTAGACTTTGTTTGGAAATGGAATTTTTTGTTCGATTAAATTTAGTTGGAATTTTGTTAGAAGGTCGGGTAGCCGATGATATGCAGTTCGAGTTTAATAATCGGCGGCCATTGTCGATAATGTAGTGCTAGAAAGAGACAACAGTATGACGGGTTAATTGCGACTGGAAAACTGTGGAGTGCTGCCGTATAGATTGCATAAGAAATAGTACAATTGTTCAAACAAAAGTTTTATAAATGTTTCAGCATCTTTAACTTAAATCCATTAAAAAATATATACATATTTAAAAAAAAACCGAGTATCTGAAGAATAAACGGGTAATAGTGCTCTTCATCGAAATTGCAAATCCTTGAATGTGCTGTATGCTCAAAAGTATTTGGCAACGTTTGCGTTGTCTCGTGTTTTATTTCTTAATTTTACTGCGTCCAGTTCTCGGTGGGGGGTACTGGATGAAAAATTGCATAAAACACGGGATTATATGCAAACATTTCGCTTATTACAGGGATTAAAGTGAAGTTTAAGTAAAACTTGCATCAGCGCGACATTATGGATAGACGAACATTTCAAATCCAGTGGATAGAAGGCGACACTGAAGGCTTAAAAAGTGGTGGCGGACAGTTGATTGTGAAACGACAAGTACCATCAGAAGAAGAGATACTGGCTAACGGTGTGGTTACAGCAGATAGTGCCGCCTTTCACATAGTCTCTGGAGACGATGTTGATGGCAATGTACCAAACGAAGTGGACATCGATCATATAGCTGCCGAAAATTTAATTTTCATGGCGCGGGATGGTCAAATGGTAACGGAGATTATAGGTGCTACTACCGATGAAAATGGAACCGTCGTTGTATCCGCCTCTGATAATGTTGATTGTACGGAGGCATTGAAACAAGCAGCTGCTGCTGTTATGTCTTCCAATGAGCTTACAAATGGACAGGGAAATGGCGATATAAGGTTTGGGGAAAACTTTGTTGTTGATAACACACCGCAAATGGTAACCGAAGAAGTGATAACGGACGACTGGGTGCAGCATCAAGGCGAGGAACGGTTGGTGATCACCAAGTTTTCACTACAAAAAGTTAAAAATTGTCAATGTAATTTTAATTTTAGTGTGGAAATACCAGCAGATCAGATCATTTGTTCAGGTTCGCAAGTATTGCTTGACATGGAAGTACCTTTGCCTACTGTGCAGGATGAGTACACTACGTTACGGCCTTACCCGTGCGATTTTTGTAGCAGACGCTTTCGCAAAAAGACAAGTTTGATGAATCACATCGTTGCGCACCAGAACGATCGTCCACATTTGTGCAAATTGTGCGGGTGTCGTTTTTTCCGTCGTTCCGATTTAATAAACCATTTAAAAGCACATGCTGATGCACCAGATCCTGAAATAGATGCAGAATGTAAGTAATAATATAAGCGGATCAAGATGAATACTTATTTTCAATTTTTATTTATTCATAGTTATGAATTTTGTGGAGCAGGAACAGCAACCGATGCGCCAACCCAACGATCATTACTACGAACAAGATTGGACAACACAAATTAATTCTTTGCAACGCAGCAATAAATCTAGTCGAAAAACGCACAACGTTAGCGGTAACAGCTCATCTACCTCAACTTCGACGACTGTGGGACGGGGACGCATTAGTCGCTTAAGACCAAATAAAGAAGAAAGTTTTGTAATAAATGAACCGTTGCAGAACGATGAACAGGAAACTGAAAATCAGCAAAATCATGCCGCTGCTTATGAGGACTGCCAACAACTACAGGCATCAACTGCTGTTGTAAAATTCACACAAAACCAATCGCCAGAGCATGGGAAAACCTTCCCTGTAATTGATGAGAGTAAGCCATTTGTGTGTCAACAGTGCGGCTTGGCGTTTGGGCGGGAGAAGGCGTTATTAGCACACACGAAGGTTAGTCCGAAAACATGACCGTATTCAACGCTCCGATATAACGTTTTGCATATTGATTACGGATATTTAACTGTACTTAATTTTTTCAAAACCCAAAATCTGAAACAAACTTAGAACCATCGTGATGACCAGCCACATGAGTGCAACCAATGCAACGAAATGTTCTGGGATGCAAACAGCTTGCAGGAGCATTTTAAAACCCATCATTTTGAGGATAGCAATTCAGAGTATGACCCTGATGAAGCGGAGGCGGAAGAAACACAAACTGAATCAGAATCAGAGCGCTTGTTCGGAGAGTTCTACTGTAGCGAGTGCGGCATGTCGTTTCACCGTGAAGATTTGCTACGGCGTCACTCTAAAACGCATTCAAAAAGCAGTGTTGAAGTTGAACCAGAGAATGAAAAGGATCGGCACTGCTGCAACACTTGCGGTGAAACTTTTGCCGAAGCATTAGACCTGTTGGCACATGCGGAAATTCATGCGCGGTATCCACCATTTAAGTATGTTATTAGTTATTTGCTTCAAATCAAATACCTTAATATAGAAAGGCCAAACTCATACAGTCTCTGAAATACAAAAAATCATAACTAAGTAAAAATTCAAAATTCCCTTTTTATTGATTATTATGCATTTCAACGAATTCTAAGTCTTTTAAGCAATAAAAAATTTCAGTTAGTTACGGCTCTATGACTATATGAGTTAGGGCCTTTCTACATTATTATGTATATACATATTCATATGTATTTATTTCTTCATTAATAGATGTGTTCTTTGTGGCGAAACGTTTTTTGATGAGCTGTCTATAAAACGCCATCTGCAGACAGTGCATCCGCATGACATGACGCCCAACTCGTGTATTCTTTGTGGCAAACAATGCCGCGATCGTAAAGCTTTAATAAAACATGCCTGGGATCATTCGCGCGAAAAGTGCCATTCATGTTCGAAATGTGGCAAGAACTTTCATAATAAAGCACGTCTGAAACGGCATATGGCATCTCATCGCGATAAGTCTGTCACGTGCGATGTCTGTCACGAAGAGTTTCCTGATGGTCGAACGCTTTCTAATCATCGCCACTCGCACACCAATTCCTCAGGAAAAATGTTCCCATGCCATGAATGTGGAAAAACGTTTGGTTCGCGCAGTTCACAACAGATACATGTGCGTATACACACTGGTGAAAGGCCATATGGATGTCGCTTCTGTTGGAAGGCCTTTGCTGATGGCGGAACCCTACGCAAACATGAACGCATCCATACGGGCGAAAAGCCTTACGCGTGTTCGGTGTGTTCTCGTGCCTTCAACCAACGTGTAGTACTGCGCGAGCATATACGATCACATCATTCTGGTTTGGACGTGAAGCGAAACACTTACTATTGTACAGTGTGTTCCATGGATATGTCATCATCAAGCGATCTAGTTCAACATCTAATACAACATAGCGATATGAACACTGCCATGCAGAGGCAACCAGTAGTAAGTGAAAAAACATCCCATATACATACATATATAAATCGGCGTTTAAAGTACAAAACCGCGTATCAACAAAATGCACAATAGCGTATCACAATAATGCAAAACCGTGTATATGAGGTTGTATAAATTATTTTCTAGATAGAAAAACCCTCATTTCAAAATGGTTCTCTTTTGTATAACGCAATCGCATTTATGGCTAGTATATTTCAGGATGAATGGATAAGGATTGAGCCAATAGCTTCTGTGAGCAAATCCAATTTTTGGCAGCAAATGTCAGTTACTCGGTTTCGCAGAATGCCGATTCGCGTTTTTGTTCTTTAAACGACGAAATATGTTTCTTTGACTTAACTAACTTCTTTCTTTTTTTCATTTCAGACTGGCCCTCGTAAATACAAAAGGCGACGAAAACTGAAGCCACATGAGATTGCTCGTTTGCGCAGGGAGAGTCAACAGAACCCAAATGGCAGTGATATAGAAATTTCGGACTTTGATATTGACAATGTAGATGATCTCCTTGGCATTGCAGATCCCCCTGCGCCCACAAAAACTTCCTTAAAATCCAAACGTGGCAAAGCTAAAAGTAGCAATAATAATTCGTTGACAAACGCCACCGATGCCAGTGTTATATTGCCAGATAATGATTTACTCATGGAACGCCCCAGAAAGCCGCGCTACAAATCAACTGGTAGTAATTCAGATACAATATGGCAAAACAAGCTCATTAATTCTAACTCTGTGCTATCGAATTTGGAAAACACTCTACAAACTATCGATGCACTTGTTGTGGGCTCTTCGGGCAGTACATCACAATTAGATGCTGATGAACGCAGGTCGAGATACAAATCGAACATGGAGATTAATAGCAGTGGCTCGCAGCGCACACAGGAAGTGCAAATAAGCAAAGGCCAAGGGGGAAGTAAAGCTCGTAAGCGACCAGAAAAAGCAACAGTATCAAACAAAACAAGTCGCCCGCGTATGATTCATACCGAAAAGTGGTCAGCTGGTAATAATGAAAGTGGTAGAAAACGTTCTAAAACAATTGTAACCAAAAAACAAGATAAAAGTTTAGATGTATTACGTTCCTCTACAATAATTGTCGACGACTATGAAATTATTACACCCGCTACTGAGTTACCTAAGCAAATTAGTTCGAGTCCGGCCCATATTAAAGAAGAGAGGGGACAGGAAGCTTATCAACATCAGCAACACCGCATACAATATAGCTCACATCAAACAAGTTCTTCAAGGAATATTGATCTATATGATACACAGTTTCTCGGTGGCACCGCTACGCTGCGTAAAGAAGCCTACGAGAAGTTCAATCCCAGCATTGTTAATGACTTGGAAGAAATTTTACGTTCGCCTATTAAATGTGATCGCACCGAGCGTCACCGCTTCATCAGTGAATCGTCCACACAATTCCTCGAAGAGGAGCAACACAACATGATAAAAATCGAGCCAACATCACCGGATTTGCGTGAAATTGTTGTTGGTGTTAGCGACACTGCGGGCGTTAGTGTAAGTGGTGGCAGTGCAAGCGGTAGTAGCAATGAACGTCGTTGTATTCGTACCGCTCGTAGTCGCGCCGGTGCTGTTAATCGCAAATATCTTGAATTCGAATCGGAATTGCCACGAAATGGTGCACTTCGAACTCAAAAGCGTAGCGCCGCAACTATCAGTAGCGGTAGCACTTCGAAGAATAAGCAAGCCAGGAATAATAGACGAGAGAAAGGAGATGGTTCCATGAGCAGCCAAAAAAGAACTCTGACATATCCTTCCTCTTATAGCTTAGACGGTTTCACTAAATCATCCGGTAGTGGTTCACTTAATACCAGCAATGACTCATCTTTCTCTTCACTTTCGCCGTCTAATGGTGTGAGTGGAGCAGTGGCGATATCTGCTGGTGCAACATCGGCGGCGGCGTCTCCAATGCTACCCGGGCGTAAACAACGTTATTTCGAGTGTGAGATGTGTTCGGCCGTTTTTCCAGACCGGGCGCAGCTGCTGGACCACGTGCCTATACATATATAAGATTTTTAACATTTTCTTTATGCTGAATTGAATATCGGGTATGAGGTTTCCGAAAAGCGTTACAATTCAAAATGAATTTACTAAACGTATACCATACCGTTGTACAAGTGACTTTTAGTTGCATTGAAATTTATGCAAAACTATACATTTTAGATAAAATTATTTTTAATAATACTATTAATTTAATTCTTTCATTCGGTATGAAAAGTATTTAATATGTAAATTTGTTTTAGAATTAGATGTGTTTAACTAAGCCATCAATACCATATAAATATAGTGCTAAAGCAACGTGTTGTAATTTGTAGTTAGCAAACCCAAAGGCCTCTTTCTTACCTATTACATAGAAACACATTTTGTTATACCATTTTTATAAACATATGTATGTATGTACGTAAATTACCTCAAAAGCAAACCCCCTCAAACGTATGTGACTAATAACATTTAAAAAATAAATATATGAAGTGATCTTTAAGAGACGTAACGGGTTTTTTTTTCGTTGGTAATATGCTAATTGAAGCAATGAGGGGGTATATGTACACAAGTTTGGTGGTGATGCAGGCGCATTTACTTGAACAATTTATTTATGTATGTATCTACAATTGCCGGTTTGTGAAGCAATTAGCAATTTACTGCTTCACCTACCTAACCTGAATGGTTTATACATATGCACTTATTGACTGCGAATATAAATTATGCACAGAATATATATTTTCAGATAGAGATTACTTCTTGGCTAGAAATTGCAAAGCCTAAGTGCAGTTTATGCCTTAAAAAACGGAGCATAAAAACCTCTGAATGAAAGGAGGTAATATAAAAATGTACAACTATTGCCGGTCAATGAGAAACTGACTTACTCGTACTTAAATAAGGAACTCCCATCTAGCGAGTATAAATAAATGAGTAGTTTTTATTCGAAAATGGCGATTTTTTTTCTCGGCCAAAATCAAACTAACTAACACTACACTAACAGGGAATTATGGCAACTGTCTTCCAGCTCACCACAGTCTTTCGAAATACAGTTGTCAATTCTGGCAACCATCTTGAAAGCTCTTGTCTGTCTTTCGATGGACTAATTGAAAGATCTGCTTTTTTAAAATAAATTAAATAAAAAAATATAAATATTTTTCTAATAAATAAAAGAAAATTAAAAGAAAAATAAATAAAATGAAAATACAGCAAAAAAAAAATAAAAATATCTTCAAACTTAAATGAGGTATACAAATAAATTTTTTAACAATAAAATCTAAAAATTTAATTAGAAAAGAAAACAAATCAAATCAAAATGAAAGAAAATTGTATTTATAAATTCAATAAAATTAATAAAAAAATTTTTAAATCCAAATCTAAAAAATTAAAGAACATTAAACAAAAAATTACAATAAATACAAACAAGAGATCAATCTAAAAATTAAAAGAAAATAAATTTGTCAAAAGAAAAACAAATTAAATAAAAAACGTTAAAATAAGTTTCTAAAAATTTTATGAAAAAATTAAAATAAAAAATTTAAACATAATTAAATGAAGAAAGAAACAAAATTAAAACAGAACAGTAAAAAACATAAAATAAATTTTATTTATTCTTTTCAAAACAATAGAAACTGAAAATGAAATGAAATCAACAAAAGCAAAATACGTTAAGCTAAAAAAAAATATATAAGAAAAAAGATAATTTTCTAATCATTTAATGAATTTTGAAAAAAAATATTTCTTAAACAATAACACCTAAAAATTAAATGAAATGGAAAAACTATTCTTTCTTTTTCTTTTAAAAGAATAAAATAGGGATCACACGATTTGTACATTTTTGCTGCAGTGTTGCTTAGAAATTTGAGAACAGATCAATACAAGAATTTCCAAACAACACCACTCTGTAGTAGCCAAAAAACGAATCTGCTTAACATCTAAAAATTAAAAGAAAATTGAATTAAGGCAGAAACAAAATTAAGACAGAAATAAAAAAAAGCTGCTAATTGAATTTTTTCATAACCGTTAGTTTCTTAAGATAATATCACTTAAAAACATAAAAAAAAAACATATCACTTAAAGACATACATCTTCCAAATATAAATCAATTAATACCCATCCATTATCTGTCCACTAGCAGTGCGAACACCTCATATGCAAATTTGTTGCTGAAATGGGTAATTGTACCCCCTAGAGACTGATCTACTCTCTCTAAAGATTGCTCGGTTGACTTTTATCAAAGAATATTGTGCTTACAAACGCAAATATTTGTATACACAAATAAATAAACATATGCCTGCATGTACATAGCATGTGTAAGAATATACAGGCTCATAAATGTATATGCATGTACATATGTATATATTAACATGTGATCAACAATTCTACTTAAAGCCGATGGTTTAGAGAGAGGTGTGAATTGTTTTAAGAACGCTTTTGCCGGTACGCAAATATTTATATGTATGTATGTACATATATATATACGTACGATTATTTTATATTTCTGATAATGATTGAAGAATAAACATTGATGTGACAAAATGCATTAAATTGGTTGAGGGCTACCCCCAGAGCGATGAACTCTTTGTCCATACGAGTGAGAGATATAAATACACATACATATGTATATAAGTGCATACATACCGACATCATGTTCATATGTAGAGTATCGGGCAAAATGTATGCAATCTCTTTATATTTGTTCATGGTATTTATTTTCAAGGGGCTTTATGTACATATACATTTGTACATACCTACATATGTGTGTATATTCCTAATATGAACCTAATTAGGAGGAATGTATGTAAATAAAATTTTTTTAAAATATCGACCATAGCGCAACCGGTCGTGTAACAACAGTTGGATCAAAGTATTTTCATTCAAGGAGCTATCTATTGTGTAATACAAATAAGCGCCAAATTCGACCAGAGCGCCATCTATCGAATACATTTTTTTCCAAAGTATTTCTTTTCAAGATTGTACATATACACACATACATTCCGTTTGGTTTATATTAAACCGGGCGTAAATATGATTTCTAGGAATAATACATGTCTCCACAGAGCCATTTATCGAGTAAAATTTCGTAGAATATTTAGACAGATATTAGAAAAAAAACCAAGACATACAACTGATACATATCAAGACACTGTCGAATAAATTGAAATCAAATCATGCATCAAGTCTATGCATGTCAACACAAGCGGCAGTTTTAAAAATATACTGCAGAAACACAGCAGCGAACAACATCTTAGCTAAGTAGCAATGACATGCTAAAACAGTAGGGGTATTCATGGATTGACATGGCATATCACCTTGTTTGAGTTGACATGATATAGCAATGCATGGGATTTTTGAAAATGAAATTTTTAGAGAAAATGTTGAATTTTGCAGTACTTTAATATGCTGGAAATTTTATTATTTCTGATGTCATACGCTCCATTAACACAGTAAAATTTTTGGAACAAATAAATTAAATACCTACTTGTTTATTTGAACCATTCTTGCTTTTCTTTATATGTAATACAAAACTCGTTTGTTTAAATTTTGGTACTTTACTGCGTTTACATAAGGCTGGGTAGTGAAAAGGTGTATAATTAAATAGTATTCCCTATTCAAATTTTCGCCAGTTTTCGGATATCCAATTTTTATTTAATAGTTTAAAAATGCGAAGTTTTATTTTTTTTATTCATACCTAATATGAAATTTAAACAAAATATGCTATAAAATTAACTTTTGAAAAAATTGTAATACGTTTTTTTTTGAATTAAGATTCTGAAAGATTTTGATTAAAGAAGTTGGTCTTAGCAAAACTTAATAATCAGGTCTGTTCTGAAAATCGTACAACTTGAAATCGGTGCGGTTTGAAAATATTTTTGAATATTTGTAGTGACAGTACATACATAATTAGAATTATAATAGGAAACTGCTAAAAACACATCATTTACATCATATCCAACGATTTAATGTTATCTTATTAAGAATACTTCAAAAAGATTTGAAAAATCTCTCGAATATGTCCATGCCTAGTACTGTTTCCTCTCGGCGTTTAGAGATTGCGGTAAGAAATTAAACGAACCCTAGAAATGAGATTTAAAATTAGATGTAAGTATGTACAAATTCTTAAATAATTATTAAAATAACTTTCTCAACTATTTTATATGCGGACATTGATTTGAGTGTTTGATGCATACGTACATGCATACGTACAAACATACTTAGTAGTGCTGCTGTTTTCATAAGCACAGCTGTAGTCATATTGTACTCACATTAACATACATACATACATACATATGTACATGCATACAATGAAGCAACTATTCATACAGCTGTGGAACTCCACTGCGCAAACACAAAGCAAGTTATATACATAGTTGCATAGAGGTTATTTTTGTATAAAAGCAAATATTTTTTCGAGATATCAGCAGTTTAAGAATTCTCTTCTATCGGGAAATAAGTGACTAAAGTCCCAACATCAAAGTATAAATTAAATACCAAAAATGGCAAGTTATAAGTTATTTGTTTTGTTGTTCAGTTGTGCCGTCGCCGCGGTAGTCGCTATGCCACATAAAGAAGTGAGTTAGTTACAATAATTTGTACCAATATATGTATGTAGGTACATACTAGCTCTTGAAAATATATTCTTTGCTCTCATTTGAATGTTTAAGGGCCAGTATTTCAGTGCTCGGCTGTGGTTTAAACTTAGTTTAAGCGCTCGAGTTGGCTGCTTTAAACTAAGATTAGCTAATCAAACATCAGCCAGCTGTTCAAGATAAACGCAGTTTACGTCATCTAAGTTTAAACTTGCACTGAAAAAGTGGCCCCAAATGTGTACATTAAAACTATTCGTATCATATTAATCTTATTTGAATTTGTTTAGCCCTTACTTGGAGGTGAGACAAGCCTTACTGGCAAGGACTTGGACGAAGCCAAAGAAGTACTACAAACTTCTTTAACCAAACTGGCTGCTGGTGAGGATGGACCTAAATTTGAGTAAGTTATTAGTAATGTAAATACATACATATGTATTGAGATACATATACTCGTACATGTCGAGCCCTGACCGCCAAACAGGCGGAAGCGAAATTTTTTCTCAAAATTTTCTTATTGACGCAGAAATAATCCTAGAGCATCTAGATGAATTTCTGCATAAAAATAAGTAAAAACAAGTAATTTCCAGCAAAAAACCGAATTTAATTTTATATTTCGGCATGAAAACTCGAATTTAGACGAAACAAAATAAGGGCCGGTTGTTCAATGTGTGGTTATCACTACTCACGGTGCAGCGAACAAAGGTGGCGCCGTCAGTGGTACCGCTACTTTGGTTTTGCCGATTTTGACAGTTGTGGTAACTTGTAAATAAACCTTTGTTTACATATCAGCGAAAGAGAAATTTGAATTATAAGTGAAAAATCAGTTAATTTGCAATTAGTGAGTGATTTTTGAGTTGAAGACTGCGTAAAAACTAATACAATGAAGTGCTGTGTGTTAAATTGCGACAACCGTCAAGATGCAAGAAGCGTAGATACAAGTGTAGCGCTGGGACGAATCGGTGCATTTTGTGTACATAGGGCACGGCAAAGCCGTTCCCAAAATGTTTCTCTATTATTATATTAACAGCATTTCCTCACAATGATTTTGTTTCTGTTCCACGCAGCCTCCATTAGCAAGTTAACTTATCAGTCCCGCAGAGATGCTGGTGCAGTTTTCTGCAGCAGCCTTAATTGCAAAGCAATGAAGTGCACTCAAAAGTTTGCTGAAGCAGCCTCAATTGTAAAGCAATGGAGTGCACTACAATGTTCACTGTTCTCTAATAGATTAGGTGAAAAATGCAATATTTTCGCATTTAGCAAAATTAAAACACGTTTTTCGCAGTAAAGTGAACTGCTTTGGCTGTTTCAACTCGGTCTTATTTTCGCTCTATTCTTTGTTTACTTGTGGTACACAAATGTCAACACCCAGGACGGCGCAATCTTGTATTCTATCATTCTTGATTCTTGATCACTACTTGTCGGTTAAACATCATTATCGACGTTTTCGACATCATGCCTATAACATGTGATCGATAAAGCAGTCGTTGTACTTAACCAGAGCTTCTACCTCCGATTAGTGTTAATCAGACATTGAACAACCGGCCCTAAATATTAAACCGGCAGATTGTGAACGCGCCCAAAAAGATGGGATTTGACCATCTTTTCGCTTCGCGCTGCAGTTACAATGTTCTATGTGGCATGCCTTGTGCATTTTCATACAATTCATTTTATCTGTCAAAGCGAATCTGTCACCCAAAGCGAAGCAAGTGTTTTATCTGGCATCAGCTTTAAGCCTTTGTGGCGGTTTGGCGGTTAAAAACAGTAAAGTCGGAATTTTAATGCCGCCACCCAATAAGATTGTTCTATACAATTTTTAAAATTAATATTTTTCGATCCTCAAACAGTGGTTCTCTTCAGGAGACTTCCAATATAATAGCCAATTGTTTACTTAACCATTTCAAAATAAAAAAATAGGGCTATATTTTTTCGGTAAAGAACACTTCTAGAGCGTGGCGGCATTAAAATTCGGAATTTACTTGTTCCACATGCATTTTTGGACCACCCTAATGCATATATGTACATACATACATACATACTATGTACGTCGGTAAATCAGCGACTGGTTTGTATTAAAATGATGACATTAAATACACAAAGCGCTTGTGATGTCAAATTAGAATACAAATAAAAAAAAATATGATCTCCATATAACCCACCAAGTACGCTGCTTAGGCTATCGTACAGGTACGCGTCAAGCTGTATTTCATTTCGGTTTTTGGTGTTTCCGGCAGGATAGTAATACTTTTATTTGATTTTGTAACGATTTTTCGTCATCCCTTGTCAAAATTGCTTTGGAGCATGGTAGGTACAATGGGCACGTTTAGAAGGCGCAACAGCCCAGTAATTGTTGCGATTACGCCTTCTAAACGCATTGTTGTATATTTCTGATCAACTGAACAGTTGCGTGTTAGATGATCGTAATATTTTTCTGATCATTTGAGACAACATGTTGGTGTGTACCTTTGAGAGTTGAATTTGACAGCTAATATATCAAGCCGTTCGAAAGACGCATAACGATCACACATTTTTTTTTTAGCAACGGTTGCGCTCAACTGCTGCGCCTTCTGAAACTACCCAATTATTCATAGGTATTGTCTTTCCAGATAGCTTTGCTTCGCATCGAAATTCGTGCTCCCTTATTTTCATTTTGACGCAGTTCAATGTTGATTCTTTTACTTTTAATTGGCTTTGCTTTTTTCTTTCGCCCAATTTAATTTTTATAGGTTTTCACACCAAACGAAAAAAAACGGTTGAAATAAAGTGAGCAATGAAAATTTTGAGTTTGTTTACTAAGCAAATGTTTATTTTTCGGCTTTTGCAAATTAAATAAGTTCTCTGCAAGAAGGTTTGTTAAAAAAAATACGTGTGTATATGTGGTATATGGGGCATGGAAATATCCCTTTTTCCTAGCAGTAAACCTCTTAGTGTGGGCAACAATGATGTTTTTCGAATAAAGCAGATTGGAACATGCGCTCTCTGGGAAGACAATACCTGTACGAGTATGTTTGTAGATTACTCGTCAAAAATGTTATAAAAAAAAAATCACAATGTATTAATACTAACGACATCGCATGTAGTCTACATAATGTAGGCGTTTTTTTTACGTAAATATACTTAGATATGTACATATATACATATGAAGAAAAACAATATATTTATTAGCACATACATACATATGTGCATGCATACATACTACATATCTTTATCTTTGACAACTCAATGATTCATTTATTTTCTTTGTTTCAAGCAGAATCTTGGAATTACAATCAGCAACCAGACAAGTGGTTTCGGGCTCTCTTTACAAATACGTAGTGAAGCTTGCTGATGAAAATGGCGCCGCGAAGGCATGCACCGTGAAAATCTGGTCTCAGCCATGGTTGGATAATGGCATACAGGTCACTTTCAAGTGCGACGGCCAGGACGAAGTTGTAAGAAATCATAGCGTTTAAGTCGTGAAAATTTGTATATATGCATACGTATTATAACATGAATAAAAAATAAAATAATGCACAGAATGCAAAGTGCTTCTATTTTATCGTTGTAAATGATCAGGGAATGGATTTAAAAAAAAAATTGAAAACCTACAAGAGCGTCAGCAGTGCGCGCTTCCACTTCGCAACGCCCGGGTTCAAACCATGGTCAAAGCAACATCGCAAAAAATATAGAAAAAGGTTTTTTCTTAACAGCGGTCGTCCCTCGGCAGGCTATGGCAAACCTCCGAGTGTATTTCTGCCATGAAAAACAGCTTCTCATAAAAATACAATCGCCGTTCGGAGTCGGCGTAAAACTGTAGGTCCCTCCGCTTTGTGTGACAACATCAAGGCGCACGCCACAAATCGAAGGAGAAGCTCGGCCAAACACTAACATATGTGTAAGCGCCAATCTATTATTATTATGTATGTGCGGCTAAATATTTCCATACTGTCACATAGTATTTTAGGAAAAACATTTTCAATATGTCTCTCAAAGTGTTTTATGAAATAAAACGTTAAAAATAAAATAGTTACAAATTTATATTAATTGTTTATGGAGTTATAATTATTTAACTGTTTAATTATGTAATCTTATAAACCCTTTCAGGTGAAAAAGTGTCAGTATGGAAATCATAAAAACTCGTTAAACAATTAATTGACATAGGTAACTATTTTATTTATATATATATATTTTTTTTTATAAAACACTCAGTGACAATTTGTAATTATTTAGCCGTAATTACCTTGGTGCAATGATAAATCTATAAATTAATATGCTAACATAAATTTTGTCACCGTTCGTTGGGCGATTCTACCGAACCGATTTCAAAACCAACAACACCATTGGAAAGGTATATATTTTTCTTAAGTTTAAGAGAGTTTTTATGGTTCAAAATTGAAAATTGCGGCCAAAATCGTCGATTAAATTTCCGTATTTGTGTAGGTATAGTCGTTGTCGCAATCTTTCAATAATAAAGATAAATGTGACGATCAAGAAATAAACGATTCAGTAATACAAAAAAGTGAAGGTAAAATTAAAGAAAAAACGAAAATGAAAACAATGAGAAATACATAAGGATTAAGGTAACTGAAAGGGAAAGAAGAAGATTTTTTAAAATTTTTCGATTGGAATCGAAATAATTTCAGTCATAAAAAATTTCGTTATCGAAAGTTATCAAGTTACTGAAATTTATCGAATCACCACAGTTTATCGTTATCGAAATTTATCGAGTTATTCATGTTTATTGAGTTATCGCAACTTATCGAATTATTCAAAATGACGAATGTTTATTGAGTTTTCGAAATTTAGAAACACAGCAAACTAGTTAGCGAAATTTACGGACAGTTATCGAGCTATAAAAATGTATGGGATTACTGAAAATTGTCACGTTAATGAAATTTATAACGTCATTAATATTTATAGTATTATTTATAGAGTTAACGAAATTTATCTAGTTATCGTAATGCATTGAGCTCTGTCAACTTATCGAGATAACGATATTTATTGACTTACTGAAATTTTTCGATTTATCGAACCGAAGTGTTTGAAATTTTCAAAATATATTGAATTATCGAAATTTCAAGGCTATGTCATGTTACCAGAGTGTAATGAGTTATATCGAGTTATCGATTAACATATATCGAGATAAATTTTTGAGTTATCGAAATTTATCGAGCCCACGAAACGCAACAGTTTTTGAAATTTGTTGAGAGATTTTAGTGTTTGGGAAATTCATAGAATTATCGATATGCTTCAAATTATCGAAATTTATCGATAAACTGGAATATATCGGGCTAATTCCAAGTCCAGTAAAAGTTCTACAAAGACGTTCAAGGATATAAAAAATTGTAGTAGCGGAAGATTTTCCGGTAAGTAATTTGGTACCGTATATGTTATACGACGTGCTAAGTTAGAAAACCTCTCCAAGGCTACGATCGAATTTCGCCAGTAACTGGCACTAGTAGTTTACTAAAAAGCACAAAATATATTGCTTTCATTAAGTTATATTTTGTTTCTTGCTTCTTATGAACTCTACTATGATTTTTTTGAGGGAATAAGTATTATTTTTTATAATTTCACTAAATTCAAGTCCGAATTGTTTCATTCGAAAAACAAAAAAATAAAAACTTTACAAATAATTATACAAGTAATTTTTACGCAAACCAATAAAACCGACTTCAATTCTCATATAAAAATTTAAGAGTACCGTTAATTTCTTACTGATCCAATGATCAGACCTAAATTAAATTAATATGGGACCACTTCTGGGGTGCCGGAATTATGCGGTAACATACATAAAAAAAAATATTCCGACGAATTAATAACCTCATTTTTTGAAGTCGGTTAAAAAACCTTAAAAAATTGAGAGAAGAATGATAGACCGCAAAATAGCGAGAGTGCCAATTCTACTGAATCAAATATAACCAAATATCATAGATATATTCTAAGTCCTTTGTGATAACGAAATTTCTGCCACGTTTTTACGAAAAAATGTTTTTGGGCCACAGTACAGAGAAACTCTTATTAAATTAATAGAGAAAACACTGAATCGCGTGACATAATCGGTACAAATATGAAAAATCGGGACACTTATACTTCCCGACTTAAACAAATATTCAGCGGGAAAATTTTCTCAAAATCGGTACGATCCCGCCAAAATTGGTACGAATGGTTACCGTACAAATATAGACCTCTGTCCCCCGGTAAGTCCTAACTTCTTCAAACTCGCGCTTGTTTTACTAAAATTTAATGGCTGTTTGATTGTTTTCCTTTTTTTTTGTTATATCTATTTAATTGTTTATTAAAAAAGTAGTGGACAAATTTTTTAAGATAAGGGCTGAAATTTGGCCACAATTAATTTTTTTTACCGACAACGAAGTTTTCATATAGGTAGTTTATATAGTATAGTATAGTTTATAGTTTTTTGTAAGCTATTTAGAAAAGACGTTCATTTAATTGAAACATTCAATACGTATTTTTTATTTATTTCTATTTGTAAAGGTTGCCATACGCCTTCTAAAGTTTTGATTTCCAGTTCGAAGATTTAATAGTGCATTTTGCAAAAATCGCACCTTAATCTCTTTACGATTACGACGCCTAAAATTGGAAGCTACTCTATTATCATCACTGTTATGAGTAGCTCCACTGCCATTGCTCCTACGAATAAGTGCACCAATACGACGACGGTTATTATAGTTGCTAGTTTCACCACCACTACCGCCCGTTCCAGCATCATCACCATCAGCGACATTGACTAACGAAAGGAGGCACATGCTAAGTAGGGCAAAAACAAATAGTAGCCTTAACTTTTTCATCCTAATTAGTCTCTACCGAATGAAATCTGATAAATGTAAAATGAAGCTTCTTTGGTATCTATTTATACCCTTCGCTATAGATGTAATTGTTTGCAATTCACAACATGTGCAAATACATTCATAAACATTTGCGTTGAATCTTCGTTTTTCAAGGACGCCGAGCGATCAGGTTCATATTTGTATTCTTTGTTTGCGAAATTTCGCCAATCGCTGATAAGTCAAACACATTTCAGCTGCGCAAAGATAGAAAAGATGTATAATATTCTGATATAAGTGGCATACATACATTAGAATGGGTCACGAGAAAAGTTTACTTATTTAAAAAAAAAAGCAAAACACAGCTAAACTAAATATATTTTCAAAAATATCACTACTCGACAAAAAAAATCAGCAAGAATAACATAAAATATATCTAAAGTACAAATTCACTGGTTGCGAACAAGGTTCATAGAATAGAAGGTTACGACATGGTGCTGTCAAAAATTTGTTTTCCTCCAATGACGTAGTTGCGATGTGAGTTCTGATTGGCTGAAATATTCTACGAAGAAGGAGGAGTACACAAAACGCAGAAAATCGTAATCAAATGGACATTTTTGATATAAAATCGTGGCAAAGCTTATTATAACAACATAAAATGTTATAACTTCACGTGAAACCGGATTAACATAATAATAGTGACAACTGAAATGTAAATCGAATGCAAATTGAAATTTGCTGGTGATTTTATTCTTGAAAGTGAGCAGAACGCACTCGCGCATTTTTAAATAAAAAGCGTTCATAACATTGACAAAATTTCGCTACCGAAATTGCAATTCATCTTTGGACATACAGTAAAACCTAAATTACCTTTTTCAGTGTAATTTTTACAATCAAAAACATTGCACTTAAATTTTTAATAATTTAAATAAACTCAAAGACGCAGAAAAGCACAAACTTCAACGCAAATTGTCAAACGGTAAATATCAGGGTTACACACATATTGAAAATAAAATTTGATGTATTTTTGACTAAAATAATTTTTTAGGAATCTGGCAACTCCAAAAATTTAGCTATCTACGTCATCAAGATGGCGGCCATCGCTGATGTCGTAACCTTGTATTCTATGAACCTTGGGTTCCGAATATCATAATGGTTCCTCTGGATCAGACCTCATTTCTAAGATATGGGTGAAAATATGAAAAAAAAAACCCATAGTTGCGACACATTACGTCACATTTATTTGCATCGAAAACTTGTATTTATACCTGACAGGGATTTGTAAAGAAGACTCCAACAAAAATTTTTTGCCTTCATAGTCATAAATAGCACAAGTGGTTTGGTCACTATAGAAAGAAGTATGCAGAAAATTTAAGAAAAAATCGTTATTTTTTACAAAGTTTCAGATTCGACCGCCTTGAAATGAGAAAAAGTGTTCGGCAATACAAATTAACCACCTTGTGCTTTTCGATTTTTTGCTTTTGATTTTCTACATTGCGGAAAATTCAAAAATCAAAAACTACCATAATTTTTACAAGTTTTTATTTAACTTGCTCTGTATGTATGAGTCGAGAGATTTGAAAACCGCGTATTTACAGCCCGATTTCGTTCATATATTGAACGTACATTAACTACATGAAAAGAAATAACTCCACTCAAAATTGTGCCGATAGGTGGCGCACGAGTCAATATATTTGGTAAACCAGTATTTATGGTCCGATTTCGTTCATATTTAGAATGCTTGCTTTAAA